CCCCAAAACCCCAAAACCCCAAAACCCCAAAACCCCATATTGGAGAATTCATATTGAAAATATTTATATTAAAATTTTAGCCTGGTTGGGATTTTTGGAAATTTGGTGAGGAAGGTTTGAAAAAAGTGGAGAGAGTGCTGAATAGAGGTCTTAAATCACTTGTATTAGAGAATTATATTAAATCTGGCAATCTTTGAAACTTTTTCAAACTTTTTTGGAAGACTGTCGTCCTTTTCTGGAAGTTGGTGACATGAAATGTCATCCATCTATATGCAATCTTCCAAAACCACCTGTCATTAGCTTGCGATCAGTAAAGATAGACATGTCTCTGTTACTTGAATTTGTTGTTTCAGGAATTTTAATTTTTCTTTTAAGATTGTTTGGCCTATATAAATTATGAAAATTTAGTCTATTATTGTTCAAAGTTTTAACCAAGATCTTAAAATATCTAAAATTCCATATATTAACTAGTAAAATCCTAAAATATCTTTGGAAATCACATTTCTAAAAAAAGGACCTCTTTTCTCTCTAAAATTAAGATTTCATAAGAAATTCTTCAAGGCTACCTTAAATGTTACATATTAAGGTTAAGTTTCATTTTAAAGATGCCAACTACATTTTTGCTTAACCCTATGAGCAATATTTCTGCCAGAATATAGATTAAGCGGTAAGCCAGACTCCAATGGTAATGTATACGAACAATCTACTTACCTTCAATCAAGTCAGTGAGGATGATTCTTGTCTTCATTTAGATTTTGGCCTGTCTGAACCATAACCTTCTTGGTGATAGGTTTAATCTTATTTCTTCTCTTTTTTGATAAATAATGTCTGATGCTTAGATATAAAAGATTAGCAAGGCTAACGCAGAGAACCATAAATGTGTTTAAAAAGATAGATCTATTTAAAATTTCATCTAAGACAACAGACTTGGTATTTTGAATTCAAATAATCAAGAGGATTATGGCAAAGTATCAAGCTTCGTTGATTATTTCTACAATATTTCCTGCCTTCGTGTCATGAGGTTTAAAGAATACTGTTAGAGATAGAGCAAAGAACTGGAGTCAAATGAACATGCAAAGTCTGGAAATAACTCCAGCATTTCTCATCGATACTATTATCAGCACCACTAGAACCCTCCTGGCGAGGAATATGAAACTGTGAATCTGTGCAAATTTGTTCAACTTTAACCCTTCGAAGAGCTCACTGATATAATTGTTCTTATGAGGATTCTTCAAAAAGGCATATCAAGAGAAGACTAAACTTACAAAAGCCAATAGTAAAATAATGATTCCAAAATTGAGACAATATGAAAGAGGGTGATTCTTGGCTTCGATCACCCTGAAGAACTCGCTTACTGAAACTAATCAGATAAACAAGAAACTCTCCAGCAAAAATCTTAGATAAAACTTGAAGTAGAACAACAAAGAAACGAGTCTGTATACTTTGGATGAGGAGCCTCTTCTTTGTTGCTTACAGAAGAGCTCAATAGAGAGATGGGCAATGAGATTGAGGAAAATAATTCCTCATAATGATACTATGATATCCAGTCAGTTGACAAATGCACTTCCTGATTCATATTCGCTCTCACAAAACTCATTGTAAGGATTCTCATAATCAATCTGATCAATAATCTTCTTGACTCCTTGTAAGGATTTAGAGTTCAAGAAGTTCATGTCCACAAAACTGAATTGAAGAGCTTGAAGTATTCTTCTAAATTCACTTGGCAATTTAACTATCAGAAAGGGAATCATTAGAAAAAGTTGGTACTGATTCAATAACGCCCAGATATTCTGAGATGATGTTTGGAAGATTATTCCTGATACCATGGAAGAAGTTATTGCTCCAACAAACCCGCTAATGACTAGAGAGAAATTCACATTTAAAGACCCATCGATCTTGGCTTCACCTGAACTCTTTACTCAAGTATTCAAGTTTGTTAAAGAGTATCCTTCTGAACACACTGTACATACTGAAGAACTGCAAGTCTGACAATGAGAAATTTTACAATTTTCAGAAGTTGAACCTTCAACTGGATCTGAAGTAGGATTAGATGAGGCTTCAGCAATGTTTATCTCAACGTTTCTCAGGAAAACTTGCCCTGATATTATACTTTTTCCAGTGAAATAAAAAGTTTGTCCTCCTCCAGATAATGGAGTAGAGTAATCAAAAGAAAGTGAATCTCCTCCAATTGTGACCCAAGATGGCTTTGGCTGTCCATTAGAATGGGGTTCAATAGTAGAGCTTACAGAAGTTGCTCCAGTAATAGAGCAAGGGAAGAAATTACCAATATTTCCGCTAGTTCCAATTGTGGTGTTCAAAATATAATCTCCTCCTTGAAATATAACTTCAGATACAAAATCTAGAGCTGAAGATGGATTTGCAGTTGGTAAATTATTTGCTTTAACATCTGAAACATCCTTAGACATAGAAGACAAACTTGAAGACACATATATCGTGACATCTGAAGTATATGAATAGCCGATAGTTGAAGTAAATGAGTCACCAACTGAAGTAAATGATATAGCAGTATTGATCCCATAAATGCCGTTGGAAGCAAGTCGAGATATCCCAATCACCTGAATATCGCTTGGCACTCCAGATCCAATGATTGTATGCCCTCCAACTTCGAGTATCCACCCAGGTATTATAGTTGTGCTTATATAAGAATTTGAGAAGGTTTCTTCAGCTGGATCATATTCAATTTTGTAGGCTCCATTGTCATACTTTATTAGTATAAATACTTTGTTAAATGAAGTGGAAAAAACAGTGCCACTGACTTCAAGGCCGCTTTGAAAGAATCCAGCTATGTAGGATCCTACAAGAGATCCGTCTGAAAGATTGGTCACAACCATTAGAGGCTTTGTGTCAGAAAAAAAGTTGAAAACTTTACTCAACGAATTCACAACCAAAGCATTATTAGTCCCAGTGATCACTCATGCTGAAGGTCACTGAAGCTTCTTAGACCACATCTGAGTGCTAGTCTCATATTCAACTGAGATAAGACTATATGCTTGACTTGGACTCGTTATTGAGCCACTGATTACCAAGAATTCTTGACCTGAGTTCAAATAAGAATGAACAGAGTACACCGAGTTGAGAGCTAGTGACGCTGAAGAAATTGTTGTTGAACTAAAATCTGCATATCCTAACTTGAATATGTGAGGAGTTGATGAGAACTTGCCTGTAACATAAATGTTGGAGTTGTCGTTAGAAAATGTCAAAGAAGCTCACTGAACTGCACTTCCGATCATCAATTGTTCAGTAATTGTGCCAGTCGAACCGTCAATTTTGACAATGTTTCACTCTGAATAGCCTGAAGCTATTAAGTTGGCTTCTGAAGAGTGAACAGCAATAGCATTTTTATGAATATGGATTTGCTTACTAAGCACCCATGTCATGTCGAAGTTTGAGCCAAACTTAATGAGAACGAAAATATCTTTATTTCCTTTCTGACCATTTGCTGTTAGGTATATGCAGGAGTTGTCCGGACAGGAAACTCCGTTAATAATTGAAGCATCCTGAAAACTAGGATATTTGAAGGAGTAGCTTTTAATGTGAGAGGAAGTGTCTGTCTCTGCTGGGCATTGAGCTGCTATAATTCTCTGTACGATCAAAATGAGCCTAGACTAAAATTAGACACTTATCTTTAAACCAAAAATATCTTAATAATCATCAGAGCTGAATCTGGTAGAATGATTTATATTTTTATGGTACTTCATATATCAAAACCTAACGTAAAATTCAACTTAAATTCACAAAACCTAGCACTTATCTAAGTTAAATTTGAAGCCAAAGGGATAGAAATTTGAACATATCTGGTCCCACTCTTTAACTGCTACTTTACTTTAATGTTAGAATTAAGAAGACTTGCTTTCTAATTTTCTAATATTACAACCCTCAAATGCTTTTATTCAAATTTTCAAAAATAAAGAGCCAAAGTGAAAGAGATTCAAAGTTCTAATTTAATAAATTACTGTAATCACAGGTTCTAGGAGTGAACGATAAAATACCTTTTAGAATTGGTAGATTCCTCAAATATCTCAAATTCAAAGCACAAGGTTGTAATTTTATCACGAATATAAACTTGTTGCTTACTTCTACTCTTTTGAGGGAGATTCAGAATTTATAAGGGAATTTCAATTATTAAAAACTAGGAAGTAAATATATCAAAACTCAGAATATAAATTTTCCTTAAACTAGCCAATAGGGAAATCCCCAAGAGTAGGAAAACCATTATTATTATTCCTGAGTTTTAAATTAAGTCTCTCTTCGAGTTTTTAGTTCATAAAATATAGTGCTAAAATTAGATATTTTTATGATAACGTAAATGTCATACTCAGCTGAACAATTTTTAAACATTAGGAACATCACAATTTTACTCTAAATAGCTTTCTGAATATGTTAAGATTATTAGTCTCTCCTCTTTGATATATAAGAGAAGTTTCAAAAAATAGAAAATTAATAATCGACAACTCAGGAATTATTCTAAATAACTTTAAACCTTCTTTGTTAAAGAGTCAAAGTTCTTATAAGCCTGTTTATTCCCAATATTTGAGAAATTAATCTCCAGAAGCTAATAGAAGACAAATTCCATAATATCTCTAAAATAAAGCGTGTCAGAATTGCAATATATTAGATTCGGATTGGGAACTGAAATAATACGAGTATTCTTATTCTAAAACCTTAGTGACTGATAGCTTAAAATTAGCTAAAAATAAACAATTATGCTAATTTTGCACAATTTTAAGACTAAATAGTTCTAAAGAAGGTTCTTGGTCGCGAACAAATATGTGGGGTCTAATAAAGTTACACAATCATGAGCCAATACTTGCTCTTTTAAAACGAAACAATTATTTAACAAGATATTTTGAGCATGCTTAACCCTGTCAATTAATTTAAATCCTTTTCAGATAGTGGCTAATTCCTTATATTTCTCTGTTTAATAGAGCTTTGCGATAATTTAGGACTGCTTACCATATTAATATCATATTATTAAATTTTATAGAATCCAATGTTATATTTTTATCACGGGGTTTTGGGGTTTTGGGGTTTTGGGGTTTTGGGGTTTTGG